TGCTACAAAAATTCTGTGCGTGTGTGTGTGCATGTTTGTGTGTGTGTGTGTGCGTGCGTGCGATTTTTTCACACCCACCTGTCTTTCTCTTCTTTGGTAACAGCGACTAAATCGTATATCTGGGGTCCAGGATCCACTAGCTGACTGACCAGGAAGAATGCTAATTTATCTATGCACCGGGAAAATTATAACAACAACAACAATAATAATAAATAATAATAAATAAAAATAATAAATAATAATAAATAAATAATAATAATAAATAATAACAATAATAATAACTGACCAAATGCAACCGGTTTGACCAGAAGATTGACTAGTTTAATGACGGGGCTGTGAGTCATTCTAGTATCAGTCTTTCCGGCTGCAATGTACATGCTCTGACACTTCAACACCAGTCTACAATTATCATTGCAGTTATAATTAATAATAATAATAATAAATATTATTATAATAATTATTATTATTATGCGACGAATCACCTTCATAATTCATTCACTCATTATCATTCACTCAACATCATTCACTCACTCACTTACTCACTCACTCATTTTCATCACTTTCTCACTCACTTATCATCTTGCTTCTGAAGAAGTGAAGCCGTATATGTATCACCCAACAACACTCGCTCATAATTACTCTCTCTTCCTCTCTCTTCCCCCCCCCCTCTCTCTCTCCCCCCTCTCTCTCTCTCTCTTCCCCCCCCCCTCTCTCTCTCTCTCATTCATCAATTCACTCCTTGTTCACTCATTCCCTCACCCAGCCTTGTCTCACTCACTTATCATCTTGTTTCTGCAGCAGTAGCAAGATATCCTCAAGTAGTACGACATGAATGGGTATCAAGCGATCCTTGTTTATTCTCCACGTCAGAGCTCCGTCGTATATCAGCGTGTGCCTCGTCAGATCTATGTTCTACACGCGACGATGATTCAATCCAATTATTAATTACAATGGTTTCGGGATTAGTAAAAATATATTAGTCCATATTATTATCTCTGGCATGTTTGAGTATACTGTCTGTCTGTCTGAAGCTGAAAGGAGTGTCGCAGACAAATTGCAAGGTCCGTGCACGCAGACGAAGAAATGTACGTATGTGTAATGTGTATTTCTTAGGTCGTGTGGTGTGGTGTGGACGTCGTAATCACCACCATCACCACCACCATCGTCGTCACCATTAAAACGAACCCTGTACTCAACGAGAGCGTTGGAAGTTGACTTTTCTATGGGGCTCTTGTCCAACCTCTTCTGCATGTCGACGAGTTTCATGTGGTTCTCGTACCTCAGTACCGCCATGTTCACGTGGTTCAGGATGGCCTTGCTGCCTTCCAGGGCTTGCTCCAGCCCCCTGTATTCGTCTGTGTCCGCTGTGTGTGTGTGTACGTGTGTGTGTACATCGCTGATATCTTTAACTAATATCAGCGTGCAGCAAGTGTACATACGAAATTGAACATTATTGTACATCTAACACACACACACACACACACACACACACACACACACACACACACAGAGACAGACGAACACCAACAGACACACACACAAAAACACACACAGACAAACGCACACAAACACACACATACGTTGTGTATATTTAAGAAGACTGGATATGAACAATGGATATTTAGTGAGGCGTTGCATAGCGGTCGGGAGGAGGTCTTTCAATTCGAACCTCTTACACAACGGTAGACTAGCCATCTCCTGCAATAATAATAATAATAATTATAATCATTATTTATGATAATTATTATTATAATTATTTTATTATATTTAATTATAATATTATGAACATAATTAATCGTTTAGATAATTAGTCGTCATAGTTGGATTAAAATGAATTGGATGAAGTGGGATGAAATATCGGTATGGTCCAATCATCGTCATCCTCCAGTGATCATCCTCCAATGAAAGTATGGATGAATGAATGGATGAATAAATGAATGAATAAAAAAATGAAGGAATGAATGAACAAATGAATGAATGAATATAAAAGATAGTTTTATCACACAGACACTATATAATGATATAGGAATTATAATATCGCCAGTTCAATCTATCAACCAGCCAACCAACCAAACAACCAACCAACCAACCAATCAACCAACCAACCAACCAACCAACAAACCAATCAATCATCCATTCAATCAATCAATCAACCAACCATCTAACCTGGATAAAGGCGGCTAACTTTTGATCTTTCTTTTGCTTAACCTTTAACCTCTCCAGGGCCTGTGATTGTTTTTCGCAGAAGGTCGCGCAAACATTCTTGAAGCGATCACCTTTTTCCTTTGTAAACTGTTTAGGTTTAGAAATTATTGAAACTACTCTGCATAATAAAACAACAATTATTATTATAATAATTGTAAAAAATTATTCCGAATAATAAGATAATAATAACAATTATAATATAAAAGTAAAAATTTTTATTATTTGGCAATGAAGTTAATAATACTATTAGAAAGATTAACAGTCAGCCAGCTAACCCAACTAAGTAAACAAACAACCAATCCCAATCAATCAGCCAGCCACACAAAAAAGTCTTTCGAGTTTCGCTGCCTGATTCTCTCCACACATACACACACACGCACACACACACACACACACACACACACACAAGCACAAACACACACACACACGCACAAACACGCACACACACAAACACACACGCACTAACGTGTTCGACTAGGATGTCGGAAAAATCATCAACGACAAAATTCTCGCAACTTTTCTTCTTCGCTTTGAACTTGTTGTTCAGCTCGGCTGTGAGGTTGTTTTAAAATGACGTCATGCTGATGATAAATAATAATAATAATAAAACAACAAACAACAGCTCGGCTGTGAGGTTGTTTTGAAATGGCGTCATGCTGATGATAAATAATAATAATAATAAAACAACAAACAAGACAACAAACAAGACAACAACAGCCACTACAAACCGTGAATTTCGACCATCTGATCGAGATTTGGGAAGAGGAAATCGACGAAATCCTTCGGATAATCCTGGTGCATGCGCGTGTATATGACGTTGTACATCACCTTCAAGTTCCTCACGTGGCTTTTCTCGGTGTGGAATAATTCTGCGTGTGTGTGTGTGTGTGTATGAAATTATAATAATTTATCTCATTATTATACTTCTATTAATATCCAGCCAATCAAAACGTAGAGCAAACCTACTGACCCAACCAATCAGACCAACCGACCAACCGACCGACCAACCAACCGACCGACCGACCAACCAACCAACCAACCGACCAACCAACCATTGATGACATTTTGGCGTTTTTTTTCTTTAGGTTTCATTTTTTTGAGGCACTCCTTAGGCATGTAGGACTCGAGTTGTGGCACTTCCATCTCGGCTTCGTAATCAGAATCAGCTGTTGTGTCTACCATGATCAGCTGACTGTGTGTGTGTGTGTGTGTGTGTGTGTGTGTGTACGTATGTGTGTATGTGCGTGTGTACGTATGTGTGTATGTGTTTGTACACGTGTATGTGTTTGTATTCAAGTGTATAGAAACAACATCCGAAAATAGAAGTTGGTTTACTTGTTAGTGAGAGCCGGTATGTTGGAGTGTGGAAACGTCCTTGTTACTGGATCAAACAACTCCCTGTCATATATGGAAGAGGAATAACAATTAAGTAAAAAAAAACAACAACAATAGACAAACAGACAGACAAGCAAACAGACAAACAGAGACAGACAGACAGAAAAACGAACAGACAGTCAAACAGAAAAACAAACAGAAAGACGGCAGACAGACAAACAGACAGACAGACAGACATACGTATCATCATCCAGTTCAGGACTTCTATTTCTACTAGTCTCAATGAGGGCATCATCGGTGGCGTTATTATTATTAATGCTATTATTATTACTACTATTACTAATATTACTATTATTATTATCCCGAATTGATTTCATTGAGTCGTCCCGGGTCAGTTTAGTGCCGGACATCGACTGCGAGTTAGGCAGACCGGCGGACACTGGGTTGGACCCCCCGAGCGAAAATGACGACTGGGATTGAGTTAGTGCCGTCTGATTGTTGTTGGCGATGGCGGTGAAGATGTTTGATGACGTCATAAGGGAAACAGCTGACGAATCTGCTGGTTTTTATGACGTAATAAGTAGCAGTAGCAATATTATTAGTGATATTGCTAAGAGAGAGAGAGGGAGAGAGAGAGAGAGAGAGAGAAAGGGAGAAACACACACAAGCACACGCAAAATAGTTATTAATATAGCAACGTCTTATTCATTATTTTCATATTATATAATAATTATAAATTTTGTTATTTATTTATTCACACCCAAATGTACACACACACACACACACACACACACACACACACACACACACACACACACACACACACACACACACACACACACACACACACACATACAAACACACTCACACGCACACACACGCGCGCAAGCAATAAATATAAAAATAATATCAATAACATCAATCTAAGTTAACATGCCGATAATATAAATTTCAAACAAATTTATCTAGCTAGTATGAATAAAAAATTATATTAAAAAAACCAAAATAATACTATTAATAATAATAATCCCAAAACCCATCAATAATAATAATAACAATAACAGTTAGTTGTACCAATAAAAGAGAGAAAGAGAGAGAGAAAGAGAGGAGAGAGAGAAACACACACACACACAAACCTTTTTCCCTCCTAAACCCTAAAAACGATTTGTTGTGATGATGATGTTGTTGATTGTTGTTTGTTGTTGTTGTGTTTGTTGTTGTTATTGATGTATTAGTAGCAGTAGTAGTAGTAGCAGTGGTGGTGACAGCAGCAGCAGAAGTAGTAGCTTTAGTTGCTGCTGCGGTGTCTTTAATTGATATTAGCGAAATTGCTCGAGACATTTTCGGGTCTAGAAGGGAAAAAAGAGTTGAAAAGATGATGAAGACGATGGTGACGATGATGATGACGACGACGACGATGATGATGACGACGCAAAAAAGCAAAAGAATCGAAAAGGCAAAAAAAGATTTAAAAAGATTTCAGTAAGTACTTTGAATAGGATAGTGTGGTGATGATCGATAAAGAAACATAGAACACACACACACACACACACACACACACACACACACACACACACACACACACACACACACACACACACACACACACACACACACACACACACACACACACACACACACATGCAAACACATAAAAACACACACACACACAGAGAGATATACACAACTTGATTTCTATTAGGCTATGCAAATTAAATTATTTCAAGATAGAACGCGGGTAATTATGACGAAAACTAAGCATATAATATTAATAGTATCAATAATAATAAGTAATAATTATAGCAGCAACAATAATATATTATTATTATTATTATTAAATGGTAAGATTACCGGAGAACCGATTATCAACAATTGTCATAGTTAAAAAGCCAATGTGGAGGTAGATAAATAATAATTGCCATTCCAGGTTAGTGTATTAGTGATCAATCAATCAATCAATCAATCAATCAATCAATCAATCAATCAATCAATCAATCAATCAATCAATCAATCAACCAATCAATCAATCAATCAATCAATCAATCAATCAATCAATCAATCAATCAATCAATCAATCAATCAATCCATCAATCAATCAATCAACCAACCAACCAAACAACCAGAGAACCAACCAATCAAACAACCAATCAGCCAACCAACCTGCCAAACAAAATCAACCAACAAGCCAAACAATTAATCATTCAAATACAATCAACTAATCGTTGTTAATGAATGTAAATCAAGCGCAGATCAAATTTATAGCCAGATACATTAACAATAATTATAATAATAATTACAAATATTATTCCTTTAAAAAAATGACTAACCTAAATCTGTAGTATCTTCACCCTTGTGTCCTGCACAACAACAATTATTATAATTATAACTATTATATAATTATAATAAAAAAACATGTCCACTAATAACAACAACATTAACAAGACAACAACAACATCAGCAACGACAGCAACAACAACAACATCCGATGGAGGTTGCAAAGATGGTCGCAGAAATTCCGGAGAGACTAAGAGGATATTGATCGGTCGATCTGCGAGCGACTAACACTAACAACACCACCAACAACAACACAACACCACCACCAACAACAAAAACACCAACAACAACAGCAGCCACAGCAGTAGCCACAGCAGCAGCAACAACAACGACGAACCGGCTTTCAAGCTTATCTTCTTCCTCAGTATGTTGGGCGTCGTCTTGGAGCGATCAACCTTCTTCGTCGGACACTTCTCTTTAATGTTCAGGCTACACTGCTTGTGGAAATTCTGCTCACACCCTTTCACAAATTATAGTCATAATTATTTTAATAATAATAATTATAATAATAATAATAAAATAATAATAACTTTGACATTGGAGTCCCTGGTAGCCAAGGCCGCAAATGACGTTCGAGCAGAAGCTGCAGTAGGTCATCTGCGTATACTGCTGCTGCTGTAGGTGGTGGTCTAAGACCTGGGTGTTTGTCTGGACGGATGAATGAATGCATGAATGGGTGAATGGATGGATGAAGGAATGAATGAAGGAATGAATGAATGAATAAATGGGTGAATGAGTGAATGAAGGAATGAATGAAGGAATGGGTAGATGAATTGGTATATGAATTGGTAAATGAATGGTAAATGAATGAATTGGTGGTGAATGAAAGACAGAATAGGTGAATGGATTAATGAATTATAATTAAAAATACAAAAGCCAAAGGACCTTTTTACTGGACGACTTGGTGAAAACGCCGAACTTCGTCTTCTCTTTGTAGAGGAAGGGCATGAATTTATCATTATAGGAGTTGGATGGACTGAAGTTTATTGACTTGAAGAAAGTTAACAAGGCAGAGCATATAGTGCTAGACCTGTCGTTCTGCTCTGTACTGTTGTGTGTGTGTGTGCGTGTGTGTGTGAGCTAGTGTGTGTGTGTGTGTGCGTGCGTGTGTGTGTGTGTGTGTGTGTGTGTGTGGTGCGTGTGTGTGTGTGTGAATCTATGCAGACTTACGATATGGAGAGAAACATCTTGAAGAGATATCTTTCGACCACAATAAGTTCAGATGCTGAATCGTTGCAGGCTTTCAGTTCGTGAACGCCGTATAAGCTTCCAAGGCCTGCATATCAATCAATCAATCAATCAGTCAGTCAATCAATCAGTCTCAATCAATCAATCAATCAATCGGTCAGTCAACCAATCAATCAGTCAATCAATCAACCAACAAATTAATCAATCAATCCATAAATCATCAACCAACCAATCAATCAACCAATCAATCAACCAATAAATCAATCAATCAATCAATCAATCAATCAATCAATTGACCAAGCGACAGTTTGCTCCTGAAATCCCCTAACTGCTCCTTGACGCAGGCCAACACGCTCGGCCTGACACCGTCAAAGAGGTTGTGCAGTTTATCCTCCTTCTCCAGCCTCCCATTCACGGCATCTAGGAGCAGTGGCATGTCACTGGCGTTCAGCTCTATGTTAAGTTTCAGAGGCTGGGTTGGTGGATAGGAAGAATGAGATAATGAATGAATGAATGAATGAATGAATAAATGAATGAATGAATGAATGAATGGCTGGAGAAATGAATGAATGGCTGGAGAAATGAATGAATAAGTGAATGAATGAATGAGTGAATGAATGAATGAATTAATTAATTAATTAATTAATCAATGGGTGAGTGAATATTAAATATTGATAAAAATAATAAAATTTAAACCTATCACGTATTTGTTGACGGGATATAAAGTATTTACAAAAAATAACGTCTTAAAATTAAAAAATCTTTAAATATGTCACATTTTTTCACATAGATACGTATGCAAACTGCAAACACACACACACACGCACACAACACACAAACAAACAAATACCAACAGCCCTATCCACTAGAAAGGAAGTAAATATTTCATAGGCCCATCTCTTCATATCCTTGCTAGAGCCCTGGCTATAATTCTCTGTCACAATCAGGAACAACTGTGCGTGCGTGTGCGTGCGTGTTTGTGTGTGTGTGTGTGTGTGCGCTATGTTAATTTCAAAATTGCATGCGACGAAAAGTTGATGATGATAGTAACATTTAAATAGTCGTGAAATTCAATCTAGTGGGTGGAATCATAATTCCACCAGTGCTAATATTATTATTGCCATTATTTTAATTATATTATAATTATATATAAATATTATTATTATAATAATTATTATTATTATTATTATTAGTAGTAGTAGTGGTAGTAAAGTAATGATAGTAGTAGTGGTAGCAACAAAATTCTAACAAGCGATGCGGGGTCATTATTTGAAAGTAGGTAGTGG